CTTGATGTTTACATGGTGAATGGATCAATACTAATTCTGTAGTCAGGGCACATACAGTAGTTTGGATTATACAAGTGATAGATGCACTTGGTATAGCTGAAATTTCCACCCTGCAACATTTATTTCTCACTGCGTGTTAGATGGAATTTTCCACCCAACTATCTGAAAGGATTTGCATAAGAATGGTGATGGAGCAGTATTCTTTAATGATGTGCTTTTCTTTGTTAAACTTCAAAAATGTCTACGGTGCATGATGAGGTTCGGATGAATTGCCAAGCTAATGCTTTTATATTTTCTTTAAAGAGCTTATCTTCACTGTGTTGTGGGAGTTACTTTATATTGTTGTCATAAAGACAGCAGCAGTAAAGCTGACTTTGTAGCAACCCTGGTAGGTGCCCCCTCCTCCTTTACCTGCAGGTCTTTGGTGCTGCTGAAGGAGGCAGATCGCAGCACCTCTTACCCACCACCTGTTTGCTGTCAACTTGTTTGTGCAGCCTCTGTGGTGCTGTGCGTGACATGACTCACGGCTGGCTCTGTGTCCTTTTACTCTTAAAACAATGCCCCCCTTGGCATTCAACCTAGATCAGCCCAGGCTGCTGGGCTGTTTGTAGAAACTGGGTCATAACCAGGATCTTTCCAGAGTGACTTGTTGATTTAAAAGAAGCTCAGGGTTAAACAAAATGTGAAAAATCTTCTGCTGGTGGTGATTTTTACAGATTGATAGAGAAGACTCTTTGTCTTGCTCTTCAGTTCCTTGGAGCAGAAACCCAATTTTTTAAAATACAGAGGGGAAACTGCTTGAAATTGGTGAATTTTAGGAATGTAACCTGTTGAGAAGCAATATTTCCTTCCTTGGCCATTGGCCCAGTGAGTCACCTTCTGACCTGCACTGTAGTGAAGCTGTTCAGAAATCTCCTACAGCAGGAAAAATAAGCAATACAAGTGACTGTGAGGTTTGTCATCAATTCCAGTTCCATGTAGGGTGCAATGATTCCACTTTCACAACAACTATTAGACAGAGAGGGGCTAATTCTGCTCTGAATTAAGACTTCTGTGGCACAGAGGAACGATTTGGGTTTTGTTGAGTTTGCTTTTTTGTTTCATATTTGCCTTTGCTGATAATTGACATTAATTGGAAAGAATTTTCAAATTATTATGGAACAGAAATGATAGCTTTTTCCCTGACAATCTGAGACATTGCTCCAATATTGGACCTTGTGTAAAAATCACTTGTCCTTTCTTTTTCTTGTGCTTCTGAAAGGATGATGGTAGCTTTGTATGCTGTACATGAACATTCTAGCTATATATGAGAGCCCAGCATATCCCATACGTTTACCTTGGTAGTCAGTCACACCCACAGGACAATCACTCACCTTCCTGTGCTCTCCCCACTTCCTCAGCCTATCCTCCTCCCCTCATTCCAAGCTCTAGTAAAGCTCTGTGTGGAACAGGTATCTGAGATAGAAGCAGGGAAGAAGCTTTTTATACCAAATCTCCTTCAAAACCAAGAAATAAGCAATTTCAAAAATAAGTGCTGCCTGCAGAAGTGAGCAACTGAACCCCAAAATCTGCACAGTGACTTCCTTTGTGGTCACTGGAGAATTGCTGCTCCTGCCCCACTGTCTTAGTGACATCCCCATGTCCCTGTCAGTTTGTTGGTATCTCTCTCACCAGGCTCAGTGGCTCAAGAGGGACCTACTAAACCTTCCCCAGTGCCCCTGCTGGTGCAGGGGTGCCTGCTGGTCCTGCCCCAGCTGTGTGGGGTCCCTGTTGGCTCTTTTCTCCAGTGTGTTGTATATTTGTGCACAAATATTTTGTCTAAACCATAATTTTTAAAATGTGCTTGTGCTAATACTTAGACCAGCGTGTTTGAGGCATAGCACCCTTAAATCCAACCCTTGTAGTTTTAATATTCTGTTGAATTTTTGGTGAGTGACAGATCCTGTTGCTACTTTGTCTTGCATGTAGCCCTTTTACCACAACATGCTTCTTGTCTTGCCTCTGGAAACCTTCCATGGTGATGGCACAGTGTGTTTAGACTTGGAAATCCATTACCTGGGTTCAGGAAGGGAGAATGTCCAAGATGTGAAGCCTCTAGTTAATGGAACTGGCACTAGGCTGTACACAAAGTTGACCTAATGGAGGAGGGGACACTAAAAAGGTCACTGCACTGATGCTAGAGCTGAATGTGTGAGGAAAAATGGGGGGGAGGGGGGGGGGAAGCAAGGTCAGCTTTAAAACACAAGTGATTCTTTCCCCTCACCTTCTGAAAACATGCAGAGCTGGTTTCTGCACTGCTCCTCCGTTCAGGTGACCAAAGAAATGCCTCTGTGGCCTGGTTCCTCCACCACTTCTCACTGCAGGTGTGTTGTCCCACGGGCTGCTCTGTGGTGCTGGCTAAGGCGTGCAGGACTGGGGTAGCTGTGTCTTCCTGGAGTGGTGAGGTCTTGTCAGATGTCACATGCCTGACCAGCGATGCTAGTTCTGTCTGCCAAAGTGGTTTAAAAAATTCTACCCCTCTTCAAAGAGCGACCAAAGAGAGCACGAGATGAAGCTGCATGTGAGTTTCTTGCTGTGTTTTACACTCTGCTCTTGGTTGCTGCTCTGTTACAGCCCTGTCTGACACCTCAGCATGCCAGCTGCACTCATTTTGCACGACAATCAAATCCCCAGTTACTGCAGTTGATGTGGTGATGCCATTTATACCTGTTTTCTGGCTGGGAACTCAGAGGCATCACCTTTCCCCAGGTCTGTGCCTGGTGACTCTGGGCTGGAGTGTTATGCTGTGGCTGGAGAGTCCCAGCCCCCAGTATTTGTTTTTTTGCCAGTCTTCCCATCTCACCCTGCAGGTGAGCAAATACCTGTTTTGTGGAATGTGAGAGGAAAGTGGCTCCCAGGCTGCAAGGCAGCTGTTTTGGGTTTAGCTGGCACGATGGGGAGTGGTGCCAGTTTTTGTGGCGCTGCATGAAACATCCTCAGCTCCATGTCTCTTTGCTTTCTGGATGTTATGCCCACACCCAGTGCTGTTTTAATTTGGGATTTGTGTTTAGCTAACCTGTGTGGTGGGACTGAGGACTAACTGCTGCCTTTGTGTCAGCAGAAGACACGGGTTTTGTAAAAGTGTGACCATGAAGATAAAGATTTATAACAGCACAGGAGAAAAAGCCCAGAAATTATTTGAGAAGCCACACTATGAAGGATAAATGTTACAGGAAGCTTTAGCCTTCCATAAAAATTCCTTTTTTGGTGAAGAATTTAATACACAGCCTTGGTGAGAGAAGAAATTCTACCTCGATGATGTTCTGAACTGCTTTATTTAAGAATTAGACATTAGGAAAACCTTGTCTTTCTGCAGTTTAGACACTTTGCATTTAGATACTTTAGACATTTTTTTTAGGCAATGATGCTTAGTAACTTCTAGATATATAAATACTGTTTATACATAAATTACATGTGCTGTATTTTATACACATGGATGATTGTTTTACTTTCTCTCTTGTCTTTCTGTGAGTACAACAATCTTCTCTGTATATTTTTTTTTTCTCCAATAGGCACTTGGAAGTGGATCTGATCACAGCTGAATTGTACAAGCCTGCTTCTTACTACATGAAATGACAGCAAGTTTTTTATCATTGCAATTTGGAATAATAATTCTCTCTAAGATGAAAAAAACCCCCATAATAATTTTTTTTTCTCCTCATGAGAGGTGTTAGATGGGTAGACCTTGACATCCATCTCAGTGGCTTCTCTTGCTGCATTTGGCTTGACTTAAGCTGCATCAGGTTTGTTGGTTTTTTTTTTTTTTTTTGTGGTTTTTTTTGTTTGTTTGTTTTTTTGTTTTTGGGGGGTTTTTTGGTTGTTTTTTGGGGGTTTTTTTTTGGTGTTTTTTTTTTTTTTTGTGAAGCCTTCTTAGAACACCAGTGTGTTTTGGATTAAGACAGTTCAAAGAAAGAATTTTGTTATTTCCCCCCCCCCCGCCTAGTTCTCATATTTCTGAAGTCTAGAAAAACTCAAGCCTCACTCTTACAGCCTCTTGAATGCTGTAGTGTTATTTAGCTTGCACTCTTTCATCAAATTGGTCAGGCAGTCCTGCCCCATGATTTTAGGCTTGGATTTGATTAAGAAATGTCTGATGGAGAGAGAAACTTTTGGAAAAGCTTTTTTTGGAAAATTACCTTCCTGTAATGACGTGGTAGAGTCCCCTCTTGGAGAGATTCTCATCTACTCCTTCCACAAGCATTTCTACAGTGCACCAATTCTACCCTTCTAATTTTTCCTAAATGATAAAATGTACCTCTCTATGTTTCCCAACCCTGTTTCTTCAGAAATTGTGTCCTCAGCTTCACTTTCTTGCAGGTTTCTGCAACTTTTGATGACAAGACAATTTGGTTGGTAAATATTGAGAGATGTTTGTCCTTGGTGTGTACTTAGAACAAGCTGCAGCTAAATGCTTACAGGTAATGATCTGTCCTGACTGTTGCATGAAGGTTTCCAAAAATAATTTTTTATAAGCAAAAATAACCCTGAGTTTTGATATTAATAGAAAAATGCTTCAGGTCTTCTCCTTAATGCTAGTGCACTGGAAGACCTAAAAATGAGAGGTCTAAAATACTTTCAGGAGAGACTTCAGGTATCAGGGGATCTTAGCCAAAAGATACTCAAGGTCTTTTGAAGTGACTTATATTTTGAATAAGTTATGGGTACCCATCTTCTAAAAATTGAGTGATTTTGTGACAGTTGAAGTTTGACATGAGTTGATATTGCCTTTTTATTGTCTTGGTCAGTTTCTGTATTTGTGTATTATCTCACAAGCTGTTCCCTGTAACAAGACCCATCTAAATGCTTGGGGGTTTTTCAATTCATCTTGACATTTTTCAAATGAAGAAAGTTTGCAGTAAATGAGTTATTAACATGAAGAACTGAATGCATATGGTCCTTTTGAAGTATTCCCACCTGACCCCATGAGATTTCTGTGGAAATAGTAATTGATATTTCATGGATTTGTCATTTGACATGAAATGCTTACCTTACTTGATTGGCCAGAGGCTGTGACTGAAATTTAACTCTACTCTGCAAGGTGCTGTACAGATGGAGACAATATGATGTCCTCTGCATCTAAGGACTTGCATTTGACAGATGAAGGGCAGGATGAAGAAGCACCAGAGAGGTTTGTATTGCTCAGTTTTTGGTAGGGCTTTTGTGGTTCCCTCATCAGTTTGGTATCTTCCAGAAGATGTTGTCATGTTCAGTGATCTGCCTGAGCACCGGGCTCAGCTCTCAGGGAAGTCACAGTGGTGAAAAAGGAGGAGAGCGAGCATGCTGTGCTTTTTGGGGACTTCCCTGGGTGCTGTGGTCCTGCTCCTGGGGAGATGCTGTGCTGGGAATGCTGGATTGCTGAGGACAGGGTGTCCCACTCGTGCCAGGCTGTGGTCCCTCAGCTGGTAGTCCTTTTGAAGCCACCTCTTGCTGAGAAATGGTCCCACTGCCTTTTGATGCAGCTGGCTTGGGGTACTGCTTTGTGGAATTTTGCTCACTTTCACTAGCTTGTAGACACTATCTTTTTCCTTCTCCTTTCTTCATACAGGCAATCAATCACCTCCTTGCTCAGTTACAGCTGCCTTCGGACCAGGGCTGACATCTGGAAGCACCCACACCACTTAAGCCTGTTCTCTCCCGGGGCCCTGCCTTTGCATGAGGTTTTGATTTACTGTTTACTATTTCAGGCTTGTAACAAGTAGGCATCCCAAAGCCTTTTAGACACACTTACTGTCTGAGTCAGATAGTCCAAGAGGTCATGTACAGATTGAGACTGAGCAGTGAAACATCTGCATACGCTTAACCTTGCTTCACTTCTGGCATTGCTCTTGAGTGTTATTTGGGCTTTGATCAGACCTATTTATTCAGCCCAGGATCTTTTCTCTTCCTTAATATCCTTTCACATGCCTGCTTCTCCAGACTCTGGAGTCTCCTCGTGTTTCTGAAGTCAGGTTTTGCTTCTGCCTTTTCACTTTTAATCCAAAATGGCCAGTGGGAACAGCATGTTTTTGTAACTGTAGGTCCTCTTTGTCAAGGGGTTAGTTAACAAGACAATATATGTACCCTCAGGAGCTGATCTGTTTGTCAGACTCGAAAAACTGGTTCATCTCAACAATAGCCATTTCTTTGTGCAAGGGACTCTGCCTGAATGACATGGGTAATTATCTGTTTAGAGTGCAAATAACCTGCATTTTCATAACACAGTTTGCAGCACTGCAAAACCAACCCATGGTACACAGATTCCCAAAACGTGTAACCTGGCTTTTATTGCCCGATTAGCTGTTTACCAACATATTTGTCTCATGAGCTGTGGACCTTTCTGTCCTGGGTGTGCTGAAAAACAGCACATGCTTCAGGCTCCTGAGAAGTTTCTAAATTGAGCATTAGATATTTTTATCAAAGACTAGAGTCAAACTTAAATCTTTCGCTAGTAGACGGAAGCCTCTTAGGAATGAAATTTACAATGCCAAGATTTCTATATATGCATATATCCCTTACGATACTGTCCTAACTAGAAGCTGCTATAATTCATTTTATTTTGTGGAGCTTTCTGGTGAATTATTTTCTTTCTCAGTAATTTCTCCGTTTAGGAACCCTCCTGAGAAATCTTTGCTGTATTAGCTTGAGCTTTGCGGCATCTTTATCTTTAAATAGCTCTTTTAAATTTGCTTAGGCAAATCTGGGGTTTCGTCTGTCTTCAGCAGTATTAAAATAGTATCTGAAGGGAGTGTTACCTGGGTACGAAGACACACCACTAGATGATACTATAAATGAGAGACAGATGGATTGCTGCTCAGAGACAACAAGATTATGGGTAGAAACCTGTTTACCTTTTGCAATACAGCCGCTGAGCTGAACAAGTCATCAGAACAGAACGGAGCTGAATAATGCATGGCTCTAACAGTGTCTAATTCTTCGAGCTGGAGGGGAGTTTCTTACACCAAAATTCCTCTTGCAGAATTATCTAGCCAGGCTTGAGTGCTGGGAAGCACTTTTGATGTGAGCTTTTGCTTTGTTTGCAAGTGCAGACGTGCTGTTGGCTAGCTAATGGTCTTTTGGCAAAGACTGCCCTTTTCCTGGAGTTGTCAGGGCTCTACCTGGAGCAGATTGTCTCTCCCTTCAGAATGATTTCTTTCCACAGTCTTTGTGTGCCAGCAGGACCCATGGATCACAAAGAGGAAGCTAGCTTGCAGGAAATTTGGTACCAAGGCTGGACACAGCTCCTCAGTTGCACTGGGCCACCACAGACAAAATCCAGTGCGAGCAGCCCCTGACAGGATTGCTGTGGTGCTGGCTTTTGAGCTCTAGGGCATTCTGGACTGAATGTTCATGCATGACTTTTAATTCCTACAGGTGAGGAAAAGACTGCAGTCATACAGGCTGTTTTTGGGGATGGGATTTAGCCAGTCGTGCTCTGAGTGATGATCTTTGTGTCCTGTGTTTTTGCCATTTGAGCTGGAGAGGAAGAGGCAAATAAACTGTATGTCAGGTGCAGGATTTTCTGTACTTGCCTTTTGGAGATCAGGGCTAAAATCAGAGCTTCAAACCTTGGCATGACTAACCTGCAGATACCTGTGTTACTGCTGAATGAAGGATCAGGACAGATTCCACCCTCACTGTCTGTGTCCATCTTTTCACAGGAGCTGCCAAATCAATGGCTCCCAGCAGGTGGGTCCTTGTGAGGAGAAGGAGCACCTGGGCATGAAAAATCTCTACCAGATTTCCATTTGTTCTTCTATATAACTGAGGGAGGCATACCTGGGAAGTCTGTGACTTAATGATCAAACAGGGTGGTGTTTTACACCTCTTCAAATATGGGACTCAGTTACAGATGGATTAAGGATGTGGGTCCTGGACCACAAGGGTGAGTAAATGCACAAAGCTTGGACTTTCCATTTCGTGTAACTAATTTCAGCATAATTAGTGTTAATCAGGGAAAGATAAATAATGGTATGAAATCATTAAGCTGTCTTCCCTCTGTTCTGCCCACATGTGCCCACAGGTGTCACCTCCAGGGACATCTATTAAGAAAAGAATGCTGTGAGGAAATACATCTGTGTGGAAGTGCATCTCAGATGTCAAGGTGATGGTGCTGGAGGTGAGCCTGCATGTCACTCCTGACACTGTCCCCAAGTCACACCCACATTTTATTTGGAGTGAACAAGTTATTTAGGCGTGTGGGCACCCTAAGGAATTCTTACCTGTGCACAAATTGAGCCACAACTCAGAAGGAGTGGGAAACTGAGCAAGTGTTCCTGGTGGTCTTGGAGTGGAGGAGGAGTTCAGAAAGTGGCTATTGGCATTTATATTCTCCCTCCTCCTTCATCAGGCCAAACAATTCAGACAATAATTTCACCAGTTGTAGTAGAGCAAATTCTTTTTAGTGTTCAGTGCATTGATACATCTTGGGACTGAAATCCTTCCCAGCAAACAAAATCCCCCGATGCTGTGATGGCTGAAGTGGAATGCCAGCACACTCCTGGTGTCTTCAGAACAGCTATAAATCCAAAGTCTGTGTGTTATCTGCCATAGGTGTGGGGCCCTGACCCCAACATTCCATAGCTGGGAGCATTTGGTAAGGAAAAGTGGGATCTAGGAAGTTGTGTGAGACATTGGCGTCCTGATATGATGGCGAAGTAAACTGATTTTAGCTCTTCCACGCAAGGAGAAAAGCAGCAGCTGGGGGTAATGGGATGGACTAATAAAATTATTCTCCTTTTAATGAGGTATTCACCAAAGCACTGTGGGGTAGAGTGGACCTGGAGTCCCAGCTAGGGCTGTGGCTCCACTATTAAGGCCTAACCATAGCTGTGCATCCACTGTGGGATCATCCAGGGGCAGGTTTTTTGGAGAGCGCGTCTCCAGCTGACATCACTGAGGTCTTTCCCTCAAAGTGGCAGCTATCAAAGTGCCGTTTACGAGCAAGACTCACAAACTAATTAGTCACCAGGCCCATTAATCAGGAAGACTAGAAATAATTCAGCAGAATTCATGCTGTCAGCAAGGATGAGAAGAGCCCTCTCTATGACAGCTTACCTTGCATTTTGATCATTAGGCGATTCGGAGTTTAGTCCATCCGTCTTGTTTATCTGCCCTCAGGGGAAAATAATCCCTGCATCCCAGCCATCTCGACAAGTTTGAAATTCAAACATATTTTCAGTTCTGTCAGTAAAATATCAAATGGGCACATTTGGATGAGTATTGACACACAACGGCGCCGGTGCCTTTTTCTTTTTTTTTTTTTTCCCAAACGTATTGTCAAGAAATCCCTCCTTTGCCTTGCTGCTCCCTGCATGCAGGAGCTCAACACCATATTAGGGAAAGTAAAGGTTAGGGTGCATGAATGGGATCATTAAAAAGCAGCTAAACTGAAGCATTCTAATTATTCTTAGCAGCCCTCCCAAGACAAGCCAGAGGCATTCTCCAGTCTAACTCCACCTTCCTGTGTCTTGGGTGAGATTTATATATGTGTGCTTGAGCAAGAGATGTACCTTAAAATAATCAAGCCAGTGTTTATTTTGGCTTCCTTTGCCTCTTTCCCCCCACACCAGAAATCCACCCAGAGCAGTAAAATATTTCTTTAACAGATGCATACCACGCTGTTGGTGCGGAGTGGATTGGTCACTCTGGAAAGCACACACTAACAAGGCAGGAACAGATGGCTTCGAGTCGTGGTATGGAGCTGTTGTGGCTACTGTTTTTTCATTAAGCATTAATTGCTGGAGGTGGAAATCATGCTTCTGTGTGTGCCAAGGAGACGGGTCTGGCTGTGCAGCTCAGATGCACTGAGTGGAGCAGAGAAGTGAGAAGTCTGTCTGGAAACCTGGGATGCCACGAATTTCTGCCCTGCACCTGTCTGTCATCTCCACTTTACGAGTCACTGTCTGGGGTGCAGAGGAATTTCCACGCAGGCCAAGGGAGGCTCACTGGGAACGGAAGAAATCTTGGGGTATAAAACGTGTTGTCTTTCTAGAGAAGGTCCTCCTGAGAAGAACTGTTTGGCCTGCTTGAGATGAAACAAACGTGCAGTTGAAACTGAGGCAAGAATGTAATTGGAATGTGGACCAGGCCAGTAGTGTATTCAGTTTTGGTTTCATATATATATACATCTATGTTTTGTAAATATTTTGTGTTTTGTTCTTTTGGTATTACAAGGCAAAGCACTAAATCCTGATGTTATGGTCCCAAAGTTTCTATTGTCCTGTGAAATTTTGCTGCAAAAAATACTGGTTTTAATGCCTTTTTTTACTTCCATAGTATGTGTTCTTTTTCCATAGTACTACATGCCCCCCAGGTTCTCTCTGGATTTATCAAAATCTGCTGTACCAAAATTTTAAAAGAGTCACTATCACTTGTGAAAGAAGGAAACCTCTACCCTAGCTACCACTTAAGGGTGGGGACTACAGTTTTTCTCAAAGTTGTATCTGTGGGGTTTTGGTTTGGTTTAGTTTGGAGTTTTTGGGGGTTTTTTTTTGATTTGTTTTTATTTTTGGTTTTGTTTGTTTGTTTTGGTGTTGGTTTTTCTTGTTTTTTTTTTCTTGTTTTATTTTTTTTTGGGTTTTTTGTTTTTTGGGGTTTTTTTGTGACATCCTGTTCACTTCATTACTTTCCACCTTCACTCTTCTGCTCGATATTAGTTGTCACAGAGCTGTTATTTCTTACCCTAATCCCACTGGCATAATTTGTCCTGGTTCATGGGAGATGGAGCCCAGGGGTGGCGCCTCTTTGTTTCAAGTGCTCATCAAATATGGAGTTTCACGACTGTGGTGCTGCTCTAACTTCATTAAAGCTCTGGGTGGTGCTTTGGAGCTCTTCCACCTAAAAACCAACAGCTTGTGCACAATCTTCTTTACCTCTCTACCCTTGTTTGATTTTTCAAAGGAAAACATCTGATTCCAGGCAGTACATATAAACATAGCCAGTGTGATATATCTGATAAGGTCCAGGTCTCTTGTTAAAATGTGGAGATTAGAAAGCCAGACTGATATCCTGGCTGTGTGCTCCTGTTTCTGCTGTTACACCCTGCCTTCATCCTGCCTGCGCTGCATTTTGGAGAACTTACCATAACATCATTAGGTTTTCCATCTGTCTTGACGCCTTGATAGGTTCATCCAGTTTCATTTTGAGCTGGTGGAAGGAGAACAAATCAAAAACGTCTGACAAATATCAAAATGTCCTTGTGTTGTCAGAATGAAATGTATCGGCGCTTCAAAAGGAAGGATAAAAATTTTATGTTTTGACTTTTTAATTTAATATTATGTATTATAATGCAAAAAAAAAAAAAAAACAAACCCAAAACTAGGTCAAAATTAATTTCATACTAGCACAAGCCAGTGGAGTTTTACCTGTAGGCTGTAATTTTTTTCAGAGTGAAAGGTTTCATACATGTGTAAGAAGATACTGTTCTCCCTTTTTGTGATTCTTCTTATCAGTCTCATTGTGCCTTTGTGTGATCCTTCTTTGTGCTGCATCTTACAGTAAGTTAGCATTTATTCCTTGTAATGCACAGACTCTGATAATTAGAAGTTTCCAAAGTATATTTCATTTTTAGTCTTATTTCTTCTACCCTTCTTAAAAACCTCCCTAGAAACCACAGATGAGGTAAAACTTGGAAGATTCTTCTGTTTTAAAGCTTTAAGCCCTGCTGTTTGATTGGTTTGGGGCTGTCAGAGTGTGCACTGTCCAAACCAACGTGGTGACTGAGCTTTCCTGATGATATTGTAAATATGCATCAGTTCCCAGAGGTGCACATCTCAGACCTCTTTGCTGATGAATAGGAAAATCCTGCTGCTGCTTCTGTTACACTAAATTAGCAGGAGGAGGAAACGTAGTGAGGCAAGAAGAAAGCGAGAGAATGACCTGTTAGGCTGATGATGGTGGGGAACAAGGAAGGATAGAAGTAGTAAATAGGCACAATTGGTTTTAATAGAAAAAGCCCCCACATTTTAGAGGCTGCTTAGAGATGCCTTTCACAGTAATAAGATGTCTAACATCAATTATAGAAGAGGGGCTTTATCTATCTATCTATCTATCTATCTATCTATCTATCTATCTATTTGTTTGTTTATTTATTTTTTACTTTTTTATTTTTATTTCACTGCTTGTTTAAGGTAACTCAGAGTACTGGTTTTATTCCATCAGCAGCCAGCCCTCCCAGCTCAGTGCAGGAGTCAGTTTTCAGTGCACATTTGACCATCCATCTCTAATTATCCACTTGTGCTTCCTCACTCAGCCATGTATCAGTGTCTAGTGCACATTCTCTTGCTGGCAGTTCTGGGACCTTTCATGCTTCCCTCTTGCAGCAGTGGTCAGTCACCCACCAGAGGTGTGAGGTGTGCCCAGTGGAAGAAAACACAGGAGCTCTGCCACTGATGTTTTGGGTGCACTTCAGTCTCTCACTTACAGCCTCTGTGTGCCTCAGTTCCCAACCTGTTCAAAATTTCCTTTGTCTCCTTAACCTGCAAACTGCTCTTTTCCATGTCCTACCTTTAAGGGTTGTGTCCTTCATGCAGCTCTAAAATATTGTAAAGTAAGGTTAGATGAAAAGTTGGTGTAATGCAGGTATCTCCACGTGTCTGTGCATTTCCCAAAGAAAAGAAAGGCATTCATCTATTTGATCTTTAACTGAAGGTTTTTTAATTTGGTTTGAAATGAGAAGATTTTTGTCATGTTGTGAAAATCCATTAAGATGACCAAATGACCAGTAGATTCTGGTGATGTGTATTATATGGTCCAAAATCTATTCTCACTTTCCAGACTAAAAGTTGATGACCTTCTTCTTACCCATGGAAATTTTTAGAGCAATCCCCATGCTTTTCTTCCTGATAAACATACCAAACATTATTTAAAGCTGCTAAGGAGATGAACAGTGTATTGGGACCATATTGCTCTCCTATCATCTGGCATAATGGTTTTCTTTTTGCCATTTAAGATTAAAACACATATGGAACTTGCTTTAATTTGTCACTTTTATTTTCTGAGTTGCTGAGTTCCAGCTTCAGCTGGGATGTCACATTAATTCTGTTTAAATCTTGGGGAGCAAGCAGGTTGATTGGAGCTAACTGTGTTCTGTATAATGATTCTGAGCTTAAGCAGCGTTATCTCCAGCAAATGTCTTTTCTACAATAGTCATCTATGTGAAGCCCTGGAGCAATTCTTGGCTTTTTCACTCATATCACTTCACTATCAAAGCTGAAATGATTAATATTCACAGAAAAAAAATAGATTTTCTCACAGCAAATCTTCCTTTCTATTTCTGTTTGGTGAGAACCAAGCCTTCTGCATACATTATACAGATCAGCTAGAACCAGTCTGAGAAGTGAGGATGTATATCTGTGAAAGTGAAACAAATACATCACTGTGATTAGCAGAAAGGAATGGTAAACATGCCCACATTCCTAGCATGCACACCTTTTTCACCCAGCTTTTTGTCCTGCTTCTCCTGTTAGGTGTGTCAGTAATAAAATCAAGGATGGTGCCCTTGAACAGGCTGAATTTCAATTGCACCCCTTTTGTCACTGTGAGACCAGCAGCAGCTCCACATGGTGTTTTCTGATGGACAGCAGCCACCAGGCTACCACTCCATGTAGCAGCATCCTGGGGGTGACCATGGGGTGTGACCTTGGCCCAGGCACGAGCAGAACCAGTCAAGGCTGGTAAGGACCACGGTTGCCAAGAGCAGATGCTGCCTGAATTGCTCCCCACAGCCCCCTGGCCCTGAAAGTGCCCAGGACTGCTAAAATGAAACCAGTTTCCCTCAAAACCAAGGCGTCCACCCCGGAGTCAGACATGCCTGTTAGTTAAAAACAGGAACAGAGCAGCCAGAGCTTGGCTCAGGTGCATGAACTGGTTTCCAAAGGCTGGTTTTAAAAGAGATGCTTAGTGTGGTTTCAGGTCTTGCTGAAGTCAGCAGTGAACTTTGCACTGATGAGGTGGACCTTAGATGACATCCCAGGAGTCAGTATTTCACAGGAAAAGAGCATTCCTTTAAATCTTCTGTTGTGAAAATGGTGACTGCTGGCACATTTAATCAGGACACATTCCAACCTGCAAAAGCAACCAGCCTCTTTCCTTTAGAAAATCCATTTTTGTCCAACCATGTCAGCCTAAGGTCTATATCTATATATGAAGTGTCATATGAAGGTATAAGCACGCATTGAATTATCTATAGGTGTCTCTCTATATATGTATATTTTTGTACATTTCCTCTTCAGGAGGTGAAACCTCTTTGTTTCTATATAGGGAAATCAGAGGAGACATCTTGCTGTGGCTTCCCATCAAAAAAGTGTTTGGTTTTGGGTGAGAACAGACTCCAAGGCCAAAGCATTTTTGAGTCAAACCTGTGGCCTCTCCAGCCACACCTTCAGGTGTGCTCCTGGCCAATTTAAAGGAGACCAGTAACAAGAAACAACCACTTTTACTGTTGCTAGCTTTTTTTTTTTTTTTTTTTTTTAATAGCAACACCATAAAGAGAACCCAGCAAGAATTTGACTCTTCTGTCAGTGAGCCAGCAAATAACCTGAGCAGATAATGCAGACAAATACAAATCAATAAAAGCTGTGGTGAATAAAAAAGAGCATTCTGCATGGGGTGGAACATGTTTGCCGGAGCTCTAGAAAGACAATGGCCAAGGATGCCTTCCAAGACATCACCATGGCTGGTGGAGAAGGCAGGCTGAGCACTGGGATGTGTCACTCAGAGGGCTAAAATAGAAGTGAGAAGCATTGATTTGCACCTCTTTAGGAATTTCATGTTCAGATCTCTCTCTCTGGGGCTGTGCAGGGGCAATGCCAGTGCCTCTGGGGGAGGCAGAATCTGGAGCAGGAGCAGCTCTCTCAGGAGGAGTCTGATGTGGCTGTGCAGGGAGCAGTGTCAGGGGGCTGGGCTGTGTCCTGCTGAGCCATACACGGAGCAAGGAGGCTGCAGTTTGGTGCTGGAAAGCCATGAGAAGCCTCTGCTGCCACTGCTGAGGCTGCCCACGTGAGCCCAGAGAGAGCTGGCACGCCGCAGAGGTCACCAGACCACCCAGCTTTGTACAGAAAGATCATTTCTAAGATGCTTGGAGAGGTGAGGATGGGTCTGGGAGTTATGTTGAAATTACTGCAAATGGGTGTCTGGCCCTTGCCGGTGCTGTGTGCCTCTGGCATGCCTGTGAGACAACGAGGAGATGAGAATGCTTAGGAACTGATTCCCATCTTCACTGAGGAGCTTCTCTTTTGGCTTTGGGAGCATATTTGTTATATTTGTTTGCTCCCCGAGGACTTTTTTTAATTTTAAAAGGTGAAGGAGAAAAAAGCTTTACATCAGAAATTGTTTGAGTCTGTAACTTTTC